AAGCATTCACAGACAAAACAAAAACGGAGAGACTTCACATCCACCAGAAAATACTAACGGAAAAAAAAATACTAACGGGCGTTCTGTGGATGGAAGGGAAAAGACACGATAGAAATTCTTAAATGTCAGATTCATAGGAACCACTATATTAGAACTTAAGTTCTGAGCACTCTTATTTGCAAAAGGTTATGATTGGCGGTGACTGCCAAAAATCCATTTTCTGGGTCCCCACATACATTGTCTCCATTGAATTCTTTCTGATCATTTACCAAAATTGTAGATAATCTTGCCTGCAGGCAGATCTCTCTTAGGGGACTGCGGCATGTCCTTCACGGAGACCACTATACTGAGGGTCGCATAATAATGAGTTATGCCCTATCCAGCTTGCCTGACTGCCTGGGTCAGAAGGCCCTGGACCAATCCTGTAAGGGCTTCTATCTAACAGAATGTACGTGTCCCAATCATGGCCCTGCTCTCGCTTCTGTTGTCCCACCTATAAACATGATGTATTGATCTGCCACCACTTCTGAATTTCTGAGTTTCCTTTGTTGTTTAATTAGCATAATAACAGATCAGAACAGAAATAAAGAATACAGAAAAGTTATAGAGAGTATCAATAAAATCGAGTTGGATCAATCAAATTGAAAAGTCCTTGAAAATATCAATAAGATGGAAAAACCTTCATTAGCTTGAGGAGCCCTGGTGGCATCGTGGTTACACTGCATAGTGGCTGCTAACTGCAGGGCGCACAGTTCAAAAGCACCAGCCACTCCTCGGGAGAAAAATGGTGCATTCTAAGCCCATAAAAGAGTCACTGCTTCGGAAACTCACGGCAGCAGTTCTATCCTGTCCTTTGTGAGTTATTATGAGTTGGCACCCACTTGATGGCAGTTAGTTCGGGTTGGGGTTACAGTTAGACTGGCAGAGAAAAGACTTTCAAAATTAAAATGAAACGAGGCAACATTACTGCTGTTTTGAAAAGATAAGAAATAGACATAAAAGGTATCCAGACTGAAAAAAGAGCAAATTATCTCCATTGGTGGATGGCATGATCCCATATATGAAAAACCCGAGTCCACAGAACACTTTTTGAACTCATAAAGGAATTTAGCAAAGGTGCAAGGTCAACCAACAAACATCCGTTGGGTTTCAATGATAAATATGAAAAGGAAATTAGGGAAACAATTCCATTTTCATTAGTAGCTAGGAGACTAAAAGACCTAGGAATTAATCTAGTCAGGGATGGCAGAAATAATTTCTTTTAGGATTAGGACAAGGCCATTTCCAGAGAGTTAGAAATCAAAGATGTCACAAATGTCCGACTTTTCCAAAATCCTACTGCTCCTTCCCTTAGCCTTCCTCTTCATGTGCCAGGAGGTTGCTGTTTGTTGCAGCGTCTCCCAGAATCTGTCTGTCCTCTCATTTGAACACCTGCAACCGTATAAAAAACCACACAGAAGACAAAACAGATGACTGAAAAGAAGACACTGATGCACGTGTCTCAATAATAGCTAATAGTCATGAGTATGTCCTCACAGGTCTGTGGGCCACCTGAATGTCTTCTTTGCAGAGCCATCTGCCCATCTCCTCTGCCCATTTTTTTAACTGGATTATTTGTATTTTACTTTTTGAGGTTCTGATGGTTTCTATAGATTTTAGAGATTCGTCCCTTGTACAATATTTCATTGCAATAATAATAATAATAATAATAATAAATCCCAGTCTGTCAGTTCTCTTTCTAATCGTTTTGTTTTGTTGTTTTATGTGCATACATGTCTTATTTTTAGTCATCTATTTTGCCTTCTGTTTTTTATGATGTTTGATAGTGTTCTTGCCTTGTACTTGGGCACCTAAGTAGATACCTACTTAGCAGACTCAACAGGTGTTAAGAGGAAAGGAGTGGAGAGGCTTGAAACTCTGAGCTTCCTCAGTAGCAACAGCAAAGTTAAAACACCAAATGTTGGACAGGACTCAGAGTGATTGGAACCCTCACAGACTCCTGCTGAGACTGTAAAATTTTCCACAGTGGAAAATGGTTTGCTGCTTCTTCAAAACATGTTTTCTCTAGAGCAGGGGTCCTCAAACCTTTTAAACAGGGGGCCAGTTCACTGTCC